TATATCTCACAATGAATTTCTAAGGAACCTTTATCTTTTTCAACTAGCTAAGTACAAAATGTTCCGTTCTGCACCGAGGTTCCAGTGTCAGTTCCTGTCTTGTAACATTGGCCAGATCTTCACTACTTAAATAAGACATTTGCAATATCTCCTATACATCACAGCCATTAGAAACATCATTACTATTTGATCACATGCAGAATGCAACTTAAGTGAAAGATTTCAGAAGTCTGCAGGGAGGGGAGGATGGACCAGTGCTGTTTTATGTTAACTCTAAAAGATGAACATCTGTCTTTGCAGCCCTCCTCTGCTAATGGGGTCTAAGGAAACAATAAGAAAGAAAAGAGGAAATGGATACATGATGCTGGATGTTGATTCTGATTTTCAGATCCTGGAGATCATTACGCTGTTACTGTTGAAAAGTCCATTTGATAAACTGTGCCGTAAAGAGCAAAAAGAGCAAACCTTTACTTCCGAGAGTGGTAAAAGTTTAGCAAGAAACGTTGCGCAGTTTGTGGCTAACGCTACATGTTTTAATTGTTGGTCAGTGATGGATTTAACCCCTAGTTGTCAACATCCTTTAATTACCATACAATGTTTTCGATTGAAGCAGTTGTCAATGAGGGGGTTAATCACTTTATAACAAGTGATTCAAATCTCACATGTAGCTTCTTATTCAGTCTTACAAGTGCAAAGCGCAATGATGCCATGTAAAGGGCAGTAGCCTACAGCAACCAATCAGACTTTAGTGTTCAATTAAGAACAGTCTGATCCATAAAAGATGATTGGTTGCTGCTGGATAATGTACTTTGATCATAATCTCCTTGTAATCCTGGGCTAGATCTATAATGGCCTAGGAATGGATAGCAAAAAATATTTTCCAAACTTTACCAGTTTTATGCAAACCTCAGAACTTGTTTCATTAGTTTTGGTGGGTTAATGGGACATTTTTCTTTCTGATTGGCTCCTTGTGTACAGACATTTACCAACTTGGTGCGGAACTGGCCCATTTAACAAATTGCTCACTTTATGTTAAATAGGTTGTTTTTATGGTTTGTTTGTTTTTTTGTCTATTGAAATGATGTGCAGCAAAAGAAATGGCAGTTCTCTTTAGCATTACATCTTCAGACTGCTCCTCATCTTGGCCTTTGCAATCATACAATGTGCGGTCGATAGAAGGATCCTTCATGAAGAAGATGGAGAGCATGCTGAAACCACATTCTCTGTCCCTCAACTGCTATTTTGACTCTTCCAAGTGCTTACTATGTAACCTATTTAACCCCCTTCTTGGTCCAATAATGACAAATAGTGCTAATGTTAGCCACAGTCCTTCTGGGTGCTTCACCCATCTTGGCCAAGCTAAGTTGAAAGGAGGTCACATTTGAGATGTTTCATAGATGTGAAAAGAAAGTCAGAATACCCAACGCCCAAAATATAATTTACAAAAGACTGATTTGTATGTCCCCAGAGTTTATGTGCACATGCACACATTTATCTCAAGAGGACTGAAATTTTGTAATTTTTGGACAGAACTGAAGAATTATTACACCAAGATACCTTCCTATACAATTAAGCACCCTTAGACTTGCAACCATCCTCCGATCTGTATGTGACTTGCACAGTAAAGAACGGGTGCAGTTAAACAGTGTGCCCATCAAACAAGTCGAATGTAGCTGCGCTGTGAGTCTTAGAGATAAACTAGGCAAGTTTATCTGCCCAGGAAAAAACAGTGCTTGAAAAGAAAAGACAATCTGCTCAGATCAGTAAAATAATTATGCTACAGCACCATTGTGTCAACTTTCATAATGATCTTTACGTTCTATATCCATGCATCGGCTGATCCATGTGTTTGCATTTATTTGTAAATCATCTCATCTTATCCACTGAATGCAGTTTTGAATTATACTTGTCAATTTAAAAGTCGAAGCAATTCTCAACGCTTGGAAATAGAGCTAACCTTTCCGGAGAAGCTTATAGGCAAATCCACTGTAGCAATAATCACTTCTAACAAATGATCAAAGAAAAAAATAAATCTTTCCTCCTAATAAGACTTTTTTTCACAAGAAAAAAAAAGAATCCAATCCCCCATTTTTTTAAATAGATAACAGCTTGGAGCAAGTAGCAACCTAGGTATCAGAAGTTATTGTTTTATTGTTTTGTTGTATGGAAATCAGAGTGATGTTCCAATTTCTGTTCTTTCTGTCTTAAGACTCTGGAATAAGTTTGCGCTTGGCCTATGAAGACTCATTGTTCCGACCTAAAGTTTTTTTTTATATCAAGGCAAACACGGAGCATTAGATCGGGGAGGAGGGTGTCAAGCCCATGTGCACTCGGATGGTGCCAGCATGCCATCTCTATGCCTTTGTTCAAAGCTTAACAAAAATGGGCCGTCACACCATTTAAACTCAACAGGGCCTGACGAATGGGTATCAACATCAGCCAATGCCTGTCACACACACACACACAGGGCTAAAAACTGTTTGAAAGCAAAGCTTATGTCTGCCGAAGAAGTAACACAGACTTAATAATCAACCTCATGCAAAAAAAGTGGTTGAAATTTTTGGTATGAGGCAATAATGTTTTTGAAGAAATATTGATAAACTCAAGTTGAAATGATAACCAATGCCCCCTTTTTTTGTATTCCCTTACCCTTATCCTTCTTGTGCTTTAAAAATAAAATACTTGTGCCGCCTTCAGGAGAGAAAAAAAATACCACAAGTCATTTTTTTTCCCCTCCGCTCCGGAGCGAGCTTCAGGATATCGTTGAACAAACAATAATGTAAACTGACTAACTATTCAAAGAAATGTTTATTTTATTTTGGTTTAATTAACTCTATGGAGCTTTTTGTTTTCAGATAGATTAGCAGCCCTTTGCAAAAGTTCGGTAATAATGCTGCAAAATGTTGAAGTGGTCTTTAAGGCCCAGTGAACCTGGCAGAAGCAATAATTATTTTTACTGCGTCCATTTTGATATGGGGCAGGCTGCTATTGACAGCGAAACACGTGGGAGGGTTGTAAAATTTGGCCTAAGTTTTAGAAAAGGGTAAAAAAAAAAAATTCTGATTTCACTTAAAGAGACAGCTGAAAAAGTCAACCAACAATTTTTCACCCTAGTCTAGACATCCCGTGTCAGTTATAGTCGTTGAACTTGTAACTGAAGCCGACAACATATTAAAGGCCAATCAGAGCTTGTGAGAGTTGAAACCTTCCAGTTGATACTTTCCTTGCACTCAGAGAGTTACATGGTCTCTCTTACACTCCGATGTTGTCAGTTTATTGCCTACATTTCAGCTGTCTCTCTCTTAGTCTCTACCCTGTCAGTTTCTGGGCTGCCAATTTCAACTTGAAGCTTGACTGGGCTGATCTGATGGAAATACCTCCAGGGAATACCCAGAAACTGATGAACAGTTATGTCAAGTCGATTTTGCACCATCGGGAAAAGGTAACCTCTGAGAGACGAAAACCAACAAGGTTAAAGAGACAGGGGGCTTTTACGTGTAATATCACTGATCTACATCTTGTTCACTGTTTCCCATCCTCTTGAAATTACAGCTGTCAGAATAAGTGTAACTGCTGAAGCAAAACTGCCGTTATAAGAAAAACAGAGCAGGCATTAAAAGTAGCAGCCTAATTGCTTTAATTACAAGGGACTACTCTATTTTAACATATTTTATTCACCTAATGCTTTCTTTTTGTCACCCAATAAGTTTCAAGAGAGAACTGGTTAAAGCCTTGCACAACATCATCGCAGAAGAAACATGTCTATCTTGGCAAAATACCTTTGAGTTAATTCAAAGACCAGCTACCAAATGTATAGTACAAAATAAAGAAAAAAAAATAACAAAGCTACAAAAATTTTAAAGAAAAAAAAAGTTGCACATGGTCAAAAAGTTACCTGACAAGGTAACAGCATTGCCACTTTTATTATCCGGTGCCGTAGCAGTGTACAAAATCAAAAATGAAGTGTTCGACCATGCAATGAAGAATGTATAAAACATATTCTGTACAAAGGTAGATTCATCTGTCTCAAAATAGTTATTTGTGACCTTGAACAAGTCACATTGGTTTCCTGAGCCCCTTAATCCAAATACTACATTTTGAGTCCAATGGAAAAGAAAAGACTGCATATTAAATATCACTATCATACCTAAAAACACAACCATGAAAAACTGCATATTGAACATCAACTATAATACTTAGAAACACAAATACCATGAAAAGGAAAATACCTTTTAGAAATTAATTATTAATTACTTAAAGTCAGTTAAAAAACCTGTAATTGTGAAGAATGACACGTTGCATTTTTTTTTTTCAAGTGTGCAACTGTAAATGGAGATGCTAATGAGCTGGGTGGTGGAAATTAATCCTGGACCAGGGACAGAAAAGCCACGG